TTTTTATTGTTGTTGTTGAGAATATACACAAGAAAACCAGTTCGACAATTTCTACATGTATAATTCAATGAGATTCTTCAAGTTGTGCAACCATTCTCACCATCCTTTTCAGAGTGTTTTTCCACATGTAGATAAACACCTGAGCTTCCTTCCTATCTAACCTTGTGAGTTGCTGTTGTCACTTTGATCCCTTTCAGGTAGTTCTGAAAAGAGCATACTGGTCAAGGCAGATCATTGTTACTACTTAAGCTAAATCTATGCTTTAATTAATGATTCATTCCAGTGGATTGTTTTTAAGAGTATGTTGTCTATTTCTATTATTTGTGAATTTTCCAATACTATTATTGGATTCCAGTTTCATTTTGTTGTTGCTAGAAGAGATATTTTGTATGATTTCGATCTTTTTAAACTTATTAAGATTTATCTTTTGGGTTAACATATTGTCTGTTCTGGGGAATATTACATGTAGACTTGAAAAAAAAATGTGTATTCTATAGTTGTTGAGTGGAATGTTCTATATCTGTGTACAGTCTAATTGTTTTATACGATTTTTCAAATTTTCTATTTTCTTACTTATCTTCTGTCTAGTTGTTCAATCCATTATCTAAATTGGAGTGTTGAAGTCTGTTTCTCCTTTAAGTTCTGTCAATGTTTGCTTCATGTATATTGGGACTATGTTATTAATATATATATTTTTACAATTATAACATGGGTTAGATCTTTTATCAATATATGAGGATTCCAGTTCACATATGCACAAGTTTATTTCAAGCAAAACATATCTATGTGATCAGTAAATGACTTTCAGACACGTTTTCTCAGTAATACACTATGTTAGTTTCACTAAGGCATCTTTTTAAAAATAATAAAAGGTCCTGTCAAAACAATGGCTTCTGAGAGGATCTGCTAGGATGATTAAATTGAAGACAGAGAGGTCATCTAAGAAGGACATGATGACTGATTTGGGGGACTCCACAGGTATAAACTTGATAGATTTTCTGGAAGGACAAAAGATAATCATGGGGCTCATTATGAAAAACTTATTAGGAAATTGAAAACTGTGTAGGTGAGAAAGGGCTGGAAAGTTGTGCCAAGGAATTTTTTTCCATCACAAGGCTCATTCTTCAAGAATATCAAGGGCTGTCCTATGAGATTGTCATTGGGAAACTGTACTCTATTAACCCTACAACTCTCATCTTGCCTCTTCATATTTCTTTTTGTTCCCAAAATACAAATTTGGGATTTGAAACAATACTATTTTTACTTACTTTCATAAAATGCCCTTCTTTCTCTCTTGGAAAATTTTTAAAATTAAAGCCCATTTTGTCTTACTGTAATATAGCCACCCCAATTCTATTTTGGTTACTACTGGAATGTAATATCTCTTTCCATCCTCAAATGAATCTACTTTAGGAGTACTGTCTTCCGAATTTCTTGGTATAAATGAGTGAGCAACCCCAGCATTGTGTTCATTTGTTGAAACATTTCAATTGGTATTCCATCAATTCCTAGAGCCTTGTTTTTCACCAATTCCTTCAGAGTAGCTTGCACTTCTTCCTTCCTTATCATCACTTTTAAAAATCATATTCTATGCCCTGAAATGATTGAACATCGGTCAGTTCTGTTTGGTACAGTGACTGTATATTCCTTCTGCCTTCTTTTGATGCTTTGTGCATTTTTTAGTTCTTGCCTATAAAATCTTTCAAAATTGCAGATCAAAATTTAAACTTTTTTCTTCACTTCAATCACTTTGAGAAATTCTGGGTGTACTCTTTCTTTTTGATTTTCCACCTCCAGGTTTTTGCTTTTCCACTTCCAGGTTTTTGCTTATTTAATTCTTCATGCTATTCTGTTATAATTCTTTTCATTACAATTGGTTCTCTTGTGGCATCGCATATTTTATTTCTCATTTATGTTACTTGAATAGTCTCCTTTTTTACATTTGTCAGATGTTCCAATGGTTTTTCAATTTTAATAATACCTTAAAATTATCAACTTCTAGTATTGTTAATTCTTTTTTATTTTCTGTTTTCTCTTTTATTTTTTCTGCTCAAATCATTATTTTCTTTCTTCTGGTGACTCAAAGCTTTTTTTCCCTGATTGATGGAGACGTCAAGTTAAGGTATTACTTTTTGTTCTTTCTTCTTTTTTTTTTTTTAAATGTGCCTTTATTGCTATAAATTCTCCTCTAAGCATTGCCTTTTCTGTGTCTTAAGAATTTTGGTATGTTGTGTCTTTGTTCCTCTCATCAGCATTTGCTCTGCTTCTTTGTCCTTCCTTTTGAAGCCCTGCGTTCCAGGGCTGTCATCCACATCATTCTACTTGGTTTCTCAAGTCTCTGTTGTAGATAATCTGGATAGTGTATCTGCCTAGTCTGCCATGTTGGATCCACTCCTTCAGCATTTTAATTGGAAATTTTAATCAGCGTAGTGGCTACAAATGGGGCTGCTAATCTCACGGTCAGCAGTTGGAAACTACCAGCTGCTCCGCAGGAGAAAGATGAGGTTTTCTGCTTCAGTAAAGATTTACAGCCTCGGAAACCCTGTATAGGGTTGCTATGAGTCGGATCCGACTCCACGGCATATAACAGCAACAACATACTTATAATAAGAAAGGTATTACTTCTGCCATTTAGCTATAGTTTTTCTTGTGTTTACTACATGTTTTTGCTCCTTAATTCCTCCATCACTGCCTTTTTTTTTTTTTACTTAATTTATTATTTGTAGTATACCATTTAGATTCTTTTCTTGCTTTTTTCTGTATGTTATTGTTGTTAAGTGCCATCGAGTCGATTCCAACACATAGCAATCCTGTATTACTGTGTGCTCAAGCTTGGTCTTTTTAAAATTATCTTGATAGCTATAAGAAACATGTCCTGCCCAGGTTCTATGGTGACATTTCTGTATGCTTGTAAATTATGTTTGGTAGCACCATTTATATGGCTTCTCCTAACAACCAGAACAATTTCGTAGTTGTGCATTCAGGTTAATCATCAGGTGTAAGTGTATATGTGTGTGTGTGTGTAAATTATATATATAAAGTCTTGTCAGTTTGGGTCTGTAACCTGAAGGAAAAGTACTACTTTTAAATGTTATCCTATATATTCTTTAGCTAGAATTGTTGTTAAGTGCCTTGAAGTTGATTCCGACCCACAGCAACCCTTTATAGGGTTTCCAAGTAGCAGCTGGTGAGCTTGAATCGCAGACCTTGCAATTCAAACAGTTTCAGTCTGAGGCATTAACCCACAGTGCCACACCAGGGCTCATAAACTAGAATAACAAAGGTATAATCCCTAAAAAAGAGCAGTTTACGTCTCTGCCTGATAGTATGCAGTTAATACTATCTAATCTATTTTGGGGGAAAAAAATGTTTTTTCACAGTGATATTTTTCAACTTCTTTACGTATTTAATTTATACTTCTTTTTAATAAAAAGGTGGATAAGTAATTTACTTGGAGCATGGTGGCACTATATGATATGCAACAGTGTGAGAACCACAAGATCCTCTGTTGGAGTCTGCCAACAGTGAGCAAGATGAGGCTTTTTGCTCCTGCTAAGATTTAAAGCCTAGAATACCCTATACAGGGTCTTGAT